GGAGTTGGGCAAGTGGAGAAGTGAGCTGGTGAAAGCAGGTGCGCGGCTCCCGCTGCTGCTGGTGGTAGTGGCCATGTGAGGGCTCAGATGGGCAAGCTCCAGTGGCTGGGGCTTGGGCCACATCGTTTGCTCTTTCAGTAGCAGGGCCAAGACCAGGAGAGGGGACTGCTCCTAGGCAGCCAGGACCAATGTGGCTTAGACCAATGCCGTGGTAGCGGGGCAGAGGCAGCCCGGCAACCCAGCTGCGGATGGGGGCAGCATGTGTGTGACTGCATGGGGTTGGGAAGGGGAAAGGGGTGGATGGGTGCTGGCATTGAGGTGAGGTGGAGGCAGGGAGGTGGTTTGTTTGTGCTGTGAGGTGGGGATAATTTGTTTGTTCTTTAGCTGAGAGTTAGGACAGAACAGACTGCTGGTTCCTGCTACTTTGAGAAGCAGGATTTTATCCCAGCTCCCACCTGGGCTGGGGGGAGCAGATTCCACAGGGGTTGGTGGGGGAAAGAGGAGGTTGGTGGGTGCTGGCATCTGTGTGGTGAGGTGGAAGCAGGGGACAGTTTATTTGGGGTGTCTGACTGACCACTCAGAGGCTTGTATGCTACTTAAAGTATCAAGCTATGAGCCCGATTGGAGAACTCAGCAAGGCAAAACAAGGCTAAGGATCATACTAAATGGCAAGATCTGCATCTTAATTTATTAATGAAGCCACTGTAAGTAGGACTATTAATAACTTTAAAAAGTATCACCAGCACTCAGACCTGTACATACAGGTGAATAAGTTAAACCTTGGCACACCACTTCTGAAAGGCTGCTCTAGGTAAATTACCTCCATGAAGGGAGTAGTTAATACTGATGGGAGCCTGTTTACACTGGAACTTTACAGCACTGTGAACATGGGGAGAGGGGATGTTTTCCCCACACAAGAGATGAAGTTACAGCACAGTGAAGTGGCAATGTACACAAGCCCTTAGTCAATTATGATCAGCTATAAAAGGTGAAAGTTAGCATCATGGAGAAGAAACTATGTGGTTCGGGGTAGAGCACTGGGAAGTTTTGGTGACAAAAGTGCTGTTGACATGCAAAAGTTGTCAAATCATGCTTATGCTGCCACCTTCTGTTGACATATCATGGCCACATTGCTAGTTCCCCTATCGGCAGGGAGAGTAAAGCAATGTGGGCATGCATCCCACAGCGCGGGGCATCACCTTTAGTTGCTAGGCACTGTGGGAATGATCAAGGGAGTGAAAGGCATTTTGAGAACATGAAAAACATCCTGTCACACACCTCTTTAGAGTCCCCCAAGGCTTCCATCTTACTTCTGCGCCATTTCAAACTCACAGTTCTTGCTGCACACTCCAGCATCTGCTATGAGAAATCGTGGATTGCAGACTTCCCTCCTATGCTGTATTCAATGTGTTTAGGACAGCACATATTGCAGCAGAGAACTTAGTGTCAGAGAAGACGACTCAGATGCAAATGACAATGCAAGTGACACAGACAACAGCAACATGACAGTGCATTTGGCTGTCACAGAGTAGCTGTGCAAAGTGGAGGGATCGCACTGTCATGCAGATGTGGGATGAAGAGCAGTGGCTACAGAACTTTAGGATGCGTAAAGCAACCTTCCTGGACCTGTCCTGAACTACAAGAACAATTGAATAAGAGCTGTCCTCTTGGTAGAGAAGTGCGTTGTGATTGCTTTGTGGAACTGGTGACTCCCAATTGCTACTGTTCAGCTGCTAATCATTTGAAGTGGATAAATCTACCAGTGGGGCAGCACTTCTGCAAGTGTGCAGGACAATAAATTGCATTGTGCTGCGTAGTACTGTGACTCTTGGAAATGTGGATGACAGTGACTGGCTTCGCTGAAATGGGCTTTCCAAACTGTGGTGAGGCAATCGAAGGCACACATATTCCCATTATTGTGTCACCCCGCTTTGCCAGAGTATATCAGTTGTAAGGGGTACTTCTCAAAGGCTGTGTCTACACTGCAGGGTTTTTGCGCAAGAAGTCTTTTGCAGAAGATTCCACGAAATCATGATCATCACTACCACAGTTTACACTAGTTTTTGAGAACATACTGGATAATCACAAACTTGTATACCATTTCTTACCTCAGAACTAGTTTTGGCAGTTCCTGTGCTGCAGGGCTGGGCCCAGGTACCCACTCTGGGCACAGAATTATGATATAATTATGTGGTGATATAATCCTGTTCACCATGTTACAACACCACTCACTCAAATTAGGCCCACCTGTCGCAACAACCGGAGAAAGGAGCTGGGTCTAGTTCTACAGGACAGGAGCTATTATTGTCACGTGAATGCAGAGTGGGATTAAGAATGTTAAAATACCGTTAATTGACTAGTTGATGGAATTTCCATCGACTAGTTGACTAGTCTATAGGCACTTCCACATTTGTCCTTTGAAATGTAAAAGAGCATCTGTTGGGGCTCTTGTACATTTTAAAGGAGGAATGCAGAACTCCACGTACAGCCTTGGGCCAGTGAGAAGTCCCACTGACTCCGGGCTGCATGCGGGTGCCTGTTTTGAAATGCACAAGAGTCCCCAACTGACCCTGGGTTCCGCACATCACTTCCGCAGATCAGCTATACAGCAGCTGCCTCTTTAAAACGCCACGTCCGCACATTTCAAAGAGGCAGCTGCCCTGGAGCCTGGGGTCAGCTGAGGACACCCAGCTGACCCTGGGCTCTCCATGGCATTTCCCCGAACCCACGACTAGCTGGGGAGTCCCCAGCTGACCCCAGGTTCTGGGGAAATGCCACGGGGAGCCTGCAATCAGCTGGGGAGTCTCCAGCAGACCCCTGGCTCCAGGGCTGCCCCTTTGAATCGCGCAGAGGCAGCGTTTTAAGTGGGCAGCCCACTCAACAGCTGATCCACGTATCAGCTGTACAGCAGCCACCTTGGGGTTTCTGCTGTGTAGCGCAGCCACTGTGTAGCGCTGCTCACAGAGGTGGCAGTGGGCGGGGGATATCAATTAGTCAAAAGACTATCTGATAAGCAAATGCTTATCGGATAGTCAACTAATCTTTAACATCCCTAAGTGGGATCACTTTTTTACAGCTAGCCAATGATCCATTGCCATTCCACCAGTTGCAAAACCTAGCTCCATCACTGCTCCCTATGTTTCTCCCTACTTCACCACAGATCTTTGTGTGAAGTGCAGCCACAAAGATACCTTAGCGAACAGATAGCATGGCTGGAGAGCTACCAGTGAATAAAAGGAATAAAATGGGACAACAATATAAACATATTACAAGATTTACCTGACACTGTGTGGGTCCTTAACTCAAAAAAGTTTTGTTTTTCTTCATTTAAATAAGGTCTACTCAATACGAGGCTCATGGGCCATGTGTGGCCCGCGGCGCAGTTTGGGTTTACGCGGGCTCAACACGTGGCCCGAGGGTGGGAACCAAAACAAAAAAGTTGTCAATATAAATGGTCTTCTGTTGATATGAGTTTCAGTAGTTAAATTCCTGGATTGTCTTTGCTCATTAAAAGTGCTGTCATATGAGTGGAAATCAGGTAAATATTGCATTTTATTAATATCAGCAGAATTGACCTAAATGGGGCCTGTGTTTTGTATAGTCTTGCCTTAATGTTTATATTCATGCCTGTCAGTGTGAAAGAAATTATTTGCACATATTTGCATGTAGAATCATAGAACCCCACACTTAAGTTAAGGCCCTCGGCATGTGCTGTGAGTATCACTGTGGCCTCCATGGCTTCCAAAGTTGAGTAGCCCTGATTTAAATAATTATTTTGGGCTGGGGATGAGGAGTTCAGTGTGCAGGGTATCCCAGGGAGAGAAGACAAGCTCAGTCCCCTCTCACTGCAGCAGCCTCGGGCTGGGTGAGGGGACACAACCAGAGGAGGGGTGCATGATCCCAGGTTGGGGAAATGGGAAGACACACAGACACACAAACTCTCTGAAATATATAGTAGATAGCTGTCCTTTTCTCCACACATGGCTCCTGTTGACCAATGCATTATAGCTATCCTGGTCCCCATCTCTAGCCCCTTACTGCCCCCTCAGTGGTTATTTTGCAGTATAAGTGTCCTTCCTGCCAGACCCCTTTCTTTCCATTTTATGAGAAACAATCCAATTCCAGGCACATCCCAATGTCCTGGAACAATCAAACTCTGACCTTGCTTTAAAGTTAGGATAAGAGGAAAGCTGCATACCAAATTAAGTGGTCTTAGCTCTTGCCATTTAGGAATAGATCTTGAATAAATTAACTCACAAACAGATGCACATTTTCTAAGATATATAGTAAGATACAGTAGCACTGCCTAAAGCTGACTGAGGAGTACCCAATCACCAGCACTGGTGGGACCGTATAACAGAAAAAAATAAAAGTCATTTTAGAAAAGTTGATATTATAATCCTAATCATCACCATTATTTAACTAATTTAATTTACACAGTTTTTGCTGCCATGAAAAGGTAGCACTAGTATAATTAAAAATCAGACAATTTTATAAGAATTTAACAAAAAGCCTTATGTTATCAGGTACTAAGGATGTTAAATTTAGATTAATCAACTAATTCAATAGTCAATGCAATTTAAATTGACTATTCGATTAATCAGTAAGGATGCCTCCGCCTTTGAAATGTAGCAAGAGCCCTGCCGACTCTTGCTACATTTCAAAGGCGAAGAGCCGTGGGAACATGGGGGACTCATTCCCTTGCTGGCCCCATGCTCATTGCACGTGCTTTGCTTTTAAAATGTAGCAAGGCAGAAGCACCGCCAGTTCCCCTGACAGAGGCAGCAATGGGGAGAGAAAGTGACTATTCAACCACATCCCTACAAGGTACAAACAAATTGCTAATATATACAGAAGCATTAAACACATTTTTAAAAGTCTATTCTTACCACAATCATTTCTGAAGGTTCCAATATAATACACTCGCATCCTCTTTTTCCTCCAGACTGCTTGCCAAAACTAAAAGAAAAAGTAAAAGAACGAATTAGGTAAAATATAACAGAGTTAAATAAATTAACAGAAGGAAAGTAATACAATAACCCACGGACTCTCAAACTTTTTGACACGGGGACCAGTAAATCCATTCACGAGCTTTTGGAGGACCGGTAACTTTCATTTGCATATTTGCATATTCATTAAGCAAATGATGAAAATTTAAATATAAGTTGTTTCTGGTCCTCCCAAAGCCCCCAGTGCCAGCGTTAGCAAAGCTTGAGATACAGTCACCCACAATATTCTTGCCAGCAAGTTAAGGGAAAAGGATTGGATAAATGGACTGTAAGATGAATAGAAAGCTGGCTAGATCAGGGTTTCCCAAACTTTTTACTTTAGTTGGAACCCTTTTTTTGGTACTGTTTTTTGCAGCCCAAAAATATAAACGCATTTAAAAAAAAAAAAAAGAATGAAAAATGAATAAATTTTCAGTGTTTCACTCAGCTGCATCCTCCACCCAGCCTGGCCCAGAGCTTGGGGGATCCAGCGCCGCATGAGCACTCCAGGAGGCGGGAGCAGGAGCAGATTGGAAGTAGGGTATCTGGCTAGGAGGGAGGGTGCAAGGAGGGGTAGGGTTGCCAGGTGTCCGGTTTTGTACCATACAGTCCAGTATTTGAAGGTTTTGTCCAGGAAAGAAATTGATAAAGTACCAGACATATAAAATGCCTGGTATTTTCTAATTAGATAAGTTTTATTGTAATTAGGCGCATCAGTCCTTAGCTGCAAACTGCCTGGCTGGTAGATGCGAACTGCCTGGCTGGTAGATGTGCTCACGCTGTCTGAGTGTGTCTACCTGCCAGGCAGTTCGCAACTACTCGAGGGGAGGGGGATGTGGGGTAAAGTACCAGACATATAAAATGCCTGGTATTTTCTAATTAGATAAGTTTTATTGTAATTAGGCGCATCAGTCCTTAGCTGCAAACTGCCTGGCTGGTAGATGTGCTCACGCTGTCTGAGTGTGTCTACCTGCCAGGCAGTTCGCAACTACTCGAGGGACGGGGTATGTGGGGGGGGGGGGGACAAAATGGAATCCCTGGCCACACTGACTCGTCTGCCAGGGTCCACCTGGTCTGCATGTAACCAGGTCAGTCCCCCCCACCCTCTCCTCCTGATCTCCCCAGTCCAGCCCTGCTGCCCCTGTCCAGCCCTGCTTCTGGTGGCAGGTTCCCCCAGCCCCCTCACCAATCTCCCCCGGTCAGACCTGCTCCCTCAACGATCCCCCCGACCAGCCCCGCTGCCCTTGTCCAGCCCTGCTTCCAGCAGCCCTGCTTTTGCTGCCTGCCCACTCACCCAGATCTCCGCAGGACAGCCCCGCTGCCGCCAACCCTGCTTTCGCCAGCTGCCCGCCCGCCCGCCTGCCCGGATCTCCGCTGGACTGTCCCGCTGCCCCCAGCCCTGCTTTCACCGGCTGCCCGCCCACCTGTCCTGATCTCCGAGGGACAGCCCTGCTGCCCCCAACCCTGCTTCCCAGCGGCCAGTATCTCCGGCCCGGTATTTTTTTCCCGTGGCCAAGTACCGGGCCGCAGCCCCTAGTTTGGGAAACACTGCAATAACCTATGGGTGAAAGGGGAGAGAAGGAAAGTTCATGAAAACTACTATACTTGAGACCACAATTTATTTTTGCTCATTGTCATTAATAATTCTTTGAATCTATAAAGAACCTCTCATCAGAGCCTCTTCAAGGTTGAACCTCTCTAGTCCAGAATTCTCTAGTCCAGAAACATCCGATGTCCAGAATGATTTTAATAAGCTGGATGTCCACTTTTCATGGGAGTGACCAAGTTTCCCACGGTCCAGTAAAGTCTGTTTACAGTCACCAGTCCTATCTCTAAGTGTACTGTGGTGTTATTTAGCTCTAATTTACCCCTAAATGTCCTTTAACAACCCAATAAGCAGTGGAAGTGTTGGTAATGCTACTAGACAATATTGACCTTCCATGATCTGGAAAATTCTCTCGTACGGAATCAGTCAGGCTCCGAGGATGCTGGACTAGAGAGGTTCAACCTGTATTTTATATAAGCAGGGTGCCTTGTGAAATTATTGTTCATAGTATACTCGTGTCAAAAGAATCCATTCATGACTAGAACTCCATTGGTTTGGTGCTGCTTTGGAAAACAAAAAAAGGGAAAAAGAGAATAAAGGAAAGACAAGAAACGAACCATCTCTGCTCTAGAAAGCTTACAGTATATATAGGGAGAGAGTATAAGATGTGGGAGTAGAACACAACAGAGAGAAAAAATCTGTGACATTAACATAAACACAAAGATTCCACATAATTTTTATAAGTTAAATGTACAAATCAGATTTCACTTCTTGGTTTTAAACACGTGAACAAGAAATATAGGCCACCAGTCTAGCTGCTATCATTTGGCGTTTTACTAGGTTAAATAGTATATCTATTTTACATGTGCATAAACTAAGATTCAGGCAGGTTAAGTGACATATATATGGTCACATAATGCAACAGCGATGAAATAATAACTAACAGCCTCACAGCTGTCAAAATCTGGCCACTTTATTAAAATAGTGCTGATAACCATTAGTGATGAAAATGGAAAGTGCTGTTTTCTAACAATTCTAATGATAAGTTTTTCAAGAAAGGGTTACTAAAAGTTTTTAAACTTCCTACATTAGGAAAGTGACAAAATTACAGGAGCTAGCATGTGACTATTTAAAAAAAAAATCTAAGTTGGACAGATATTTATTTAAGAGAAACAAAGGTTACAAAGAAGATCAATACAATAGTTCAGTGTATTTAATGCTTCCTGGGTTAGCAAGTTGCTCTTTGCGCTCTACTGTCAGAGCTGAAGTCTCAACTGAGACTACTGACTTAAAATGAGAATATAATGAGTTCTCTCCTATGTCTGTTTTCCACCACTTTGACATGTAATTATTTTCTTCTCAGGAGACAATAGCAGTTTTCATGGTTGGGGTTAACCAAAACTGATTTTATTAAAACACTGAACAAGTTGTTGATTCTAGCACACATAATAACTTGATTCACACTATGACTTAACATCACTGAATTGAATGCATGTATTAGAAGGCTAGAGAAAATGATAAACTGATCTCAGGACTGACTAAACACATTAACCAAAATCTAAGCTTGCCCTCTTTTCCTAATCTAGAAAATGTGGCACAGATTTTTGCAGTGGAAACAATTTCATTTTATAATTCATCACAGAGGAAGCAAAAAGTCTTAACAGCTGGACACCGGACAGCTGCAGTTTTTGGACACCTACAAAATACAGATGCAGAGTACATTAGCTAATTCACTCAGCCAGAACTACCAGTATTAAAATGTTCAGTGACTTTGAAATTATTACTACGTTTCAGAACTAACCTGCTGAAATGAATGAGAGTGGTTCACATTTCTCAAAAATATCATCTCTCAGGCTTTCTAAAAGCTCAGGAAACCAATGTATGTGGATTTGCATTAGTTTATACTCAGATAACATTTGGAAGTTTTCCCTTACAAATAAGTGCTAGCTTTATTTTAAATGCAACTTTAGATGCAGAATTCTGCAGCAAAGGACTGGTCCTGCAACCAATTCTTTGGTTATGAAAAACTCAACTCTGGCCATTAGAATACATGCAGCTCAGCTTCATAAAGCCACCACCTACTCCCAATTGCTGTCTCCGGCATATGCAACATGAAGAATCACCTAACATTTTGTTGAGACTGCATAGAAAAAGGGACGCAGCTAATAAGATTGTGAACCAAAAAGGAAAAATAAAAATCTAAGAAAAAAGTTAGAAGTGTGAAAACAACAGGAAAGAAAGAACATACGGGATAAGTACCAACTCCTTGGCAACACACAGGGAAGGGAGAACAAATCATCAACAGATCAGGTACATCTTTACCTTTAGATGTGACAGACACTACATTTTTATGCATAGACAAACTATGGAAAACTTATACTCCAAAGCTTTATAATGTAAGCTTATACTTTATGGCTACGTCTAGACTGGCCCCTAATTTCAGAAAAGTCATGCAAAGCAGGTAAGTCAGAATAGGGAAATCCGCGGAGGGATTTAAATATCCCCCGCGGGATTTAAATAAACATGTCTGCCGCTTTTTTCCCGGCTTGGGGAAAAGCCGGAAAAAAGCGTCTAGACTGGCGCGATCCTCCGGAATAAAGCCCTTTTCCGGAGGATCTCTTATTCCTACTTGAAAGGGCTTTATTCCGGAGGATCCAAGCCGGAAAAAAAACAGCGGACATGTTTATTTAAATCCCGCGGGGGATATTTAAATCCCCCGCGGATTTCCCTATTCTGACTTACCTGCTTTGCATGACTTTTCTGGAATTAGGGGCCAGTCTAGACGTAGCCCACATGTAAAAAGTAAAAGGGTTAAATCAGCTATCCATTCATGGAAAAAGATGAACTAAAGCTTCAGTGGTTTTTTTTAAATGTTATGCCCCCAAAACACAGATAACTATTAAGACAGCTTCATGCAGCTATTTTAGCAATACCTCAGAACTTTCCAAACAACTAAGTTAACAAACCTAACAGTCATTTTGATAAAGTATTATATGACCAGTGTGAGCACTGCAGTTTGAACTGTTAAATTCTGCATTTTGATAATGTACTATAGAAACTATAGCCTTTACTAGAACAATTGCCATTTATCATGACAATGACTAAAATGTTCCTTGCTTATACTGTATTAGTAAAGAAGCTATTAGTTCATGATTTCTATTGAAATATGTTAGTTTCAAAGCGGGGCATTCAAACTTTCAGTAGCTGTCTAAATTTCATGTCTTCGGTCATACTTCTTTCATAGAGTGTATAACCCAGACATCATAGTTTGTCACAGTATGTCATAAATTAACAGTTGTTCATTAGTTACTTGAATTAAAAAAAGCGGGAAAGCATGGAGAATTGCCTAAGTCATACATACATATACATATACATATGTGAGAGAGAGAGAGAGAGAGAACGAACATGTTCTATAGCATTGGGAG